CTCAGTTAACTGACTATGATTTAGTGCTCATTTAGATGCTGTCATTGGTTAACCTGCCCAATATAAATAAATCTTTAACTTTATATTTATCAAATGGTTCTGTTTCAAACCATATTTTACAGCTTCTTACTGAGTTTGCTAGAAGTGCTCTTATTTACAGAAATCCTTGTCACACTGTTATCAAAGAAAATTAGATTTAACCAACATTATTTTATTATGAAGAAAACACACAAAGGATGAGACAGTGTCTTACATGTCATGGATAATGACAACGACCTTTATTCAGCATGTCCTTTGAGTTATTTTCCTAATGTGCATGTTCATAACTGTCTATACAGAAGCAGACAGAGGTTTAAAATGAAAAGCCATCAGTTAACTTTAAAGATTTATTTATTTGAGAGAGGGAGAGCCCAAGCGAGAGTGAGCACGAGCATGGGGGAGGCACGGGGGGGGGGGAGAGAGAGAGAGAGAGAGAGAGAGAATCTCAAGTAGACTCTTTGCTGAGTGTGGAGCCTAATGCAGGGCTGGATCTCATGACCCTGAGACTATGACTTAAGCCAGAATCAAGAGTTGGATGCTTAACTGACTGAGCCACCCAGGCACCTCACCATAATGAACTTTATTTATTTTTTTAATTATTTATTTATTCATGACAGACACACACAGAGAGAGGCAGAGACACAGGCAGAAGGAGAAGCAGACTCCATGCAGGGAACCTGACGCGGGACTTAATCCTGGGTCTCCAGGATCAGGCCCTGGGCTGAAGGTGGTGCTAAACCGCTCAGCCACTGGGGCTACTCCATCAATGAACTTTAAAACAAAAATTTTAATTTGGTAAAATTGGAAAATGCAGAAAAAAAAGATGAAAAGAAATGAAATCACTCATAGTTCCATTATCCAGTCATAGTTGTTTTTTATATTTTGGTGCATTTCCATTAAGTTGATTTGCTATACTTTTTATATAATATCCAGTGAACTCTTATGTTGCATTTGGCTTCTTTTCCTCATTATTATGTTTTTGAAGTTTATGTCTATAGTTTCTTTTTAATTTCTGGTTAGTATTCCATTGTATGGCTGTACTACAATTTGTTTATCCATTCATGTGTTGGTAGGCACTTGTGTTGCTTTCTACTTTTTGTCTATTATGAATAAAGCTTCTGTGAGCATCTGTGTATGAGTGTGGCTATATGCTTTCATCTGAATAAAAAGCTATATGCTTTCATCTGAATAAAAATCTAGACTTACTGGATCACGTTAACTTTTTATAAGAAACTATATTATGTTTTTGCCAGCATTTAAATATTATCAGCCTTTTACATTTTTCTCAGGGGTTCCCCCACAAAAAACCAAAATGGGAACTTGCTTTTTTCTTTTTCAATGTAAATCTGTAAAGGAATTTTAAGGCCCTTAGGGATGTCAGGAGATTCATTTATGTGAATAGTTATTGGTCTGAAATGGATAAGGTGAAAGTATCCCTACAGGCTCTTTGAGAGATAATTTTAGGACATACAAGTTTAATTTATTTCTATCCCATCCTGTCTAGGCTCATGTGACTTCAGAATTTTAATAGAAATTATTAGAGGAGTTTATAGCACAGAGTGATTCCATAGGACTGAAGACAGGTATTACTGATGGACTTTCTCACATTATTCTAGATGAGCCCTGTCCAATGAAACTTTCCACAGTGATAGCTACTAACTACATGTGGCACTTGAAAGGTGGTTAGTGAAACTAAAGGATGAAATTTTTAATTGTGTCTAATTTTCATTTTAATAGCCATATCTGTCTAGTGGTTACTCTAGATTTGATCTAGACCAGTGCAGTTCTAAAATGTTATTTTCCAGAAAAGATCATCTGACAAGAAATAATTCAATGAGACTTGTCAGCGGAGCTGGCTCTGGGCAAGTTCATGTTCTCCGTCCTACTTCCCTTTCCTGTGGGGGATTTGTGTGTCTCTAGAGAGTTGTAACCAAGGTCTCAAGCACTTCAGAGGAAGAACCCATGGATTCATGAATGTTGCAATTAGGGTAGGGGCAGTTATTTGGTGATGAGCTCTTCTAGTTAGGTATTACACTCTTTTTTTTTTTTATCTTTTTCTTTTGCCCTATTAAATTGTTTGGTAAACAATATAACATATATTTTAATACTCTAGTTCTTAAAGTAGACCTTTGGACAGAAGTATGCTATTTAAATTTGAAAACCATATAACATTGCCCAGAGAAATTCTGGGTCAATCCTTCCAATTTTTTTTTTTGATGAAGAGGAGCAATTTTTTTCTGCATTTTTAACAGCTTTCAAGTAATGATATAATTACTTCTACTAAAGTTTCCATTAAAGATTTATCGAGATTTCTGTTCTTTTGAGGTAGTGATGAATTGTTAATTTCTTACATTTCAAATTGTTAGTGAAAACATTTTATAGCCTTTAGATGGTTAAATGTTCTAGGAACCCAGATAACTTATATAATATTGCTTATCAGTGTAGTATTTTCATTTCATAATAGCTGCATGGTTGTAGAAGCTGAGTTTTTATTATTGTTTCCTAGAGGCAAGGTCAGTTTTAGAAAAATTGTGGAATTTTCCCTTGCCATTACTGTGGTAAATAAACAGCTACTATTTATAGGAATTGATATTTTGATGAGAAGATGAGATACCCTGCTTGGCTTGTTATAAAAACACAGATGCTTCTAGATTCCAGTAGGGAGGCCTTTTACAGCATCTGTTTTAGTTGGCTAGTCAGAAGACTTCTACAGAGTTTTTCACCTTCTTTTGAAGGACAATAGTTCTTTGACAACAAGTTTACAAATGAAAAGCTTAACTTACCATTTTGTAAGCTTTTTTTTTTTTTATTACTTTGGCTATTTCAGTTCTGTGTAATTTTGAACTGTTAGATAATTTATTTCATATCACCTCCCAAGTAACCTTGAAATGTGTTTTATGCACATGTCCTTTAACTGTTTATTCTGCAGTTAGGTTTGTATTGATCCATAAGTTCATTTATTCAGCAGATATTTGATGAACACTCGCTGTGTACCAACCCCTATACTAGTCCTGGGGAACCCCAGATATAAGTAAGATATAGTCTTAGTCCTTGAAAAGCTTAAGGTGTTTTATGCCATGCAAACATGTAAACAGACAATAAAAATACAGTCAGGAGCTTTCATTTGAGGTTTATTGTATCAGTTTACTGGAGAGGGAAATGAGTCTAGGAAGGTCTTCTAGAAATGTCTTGAGCTGAGAATTGTTGAAATGATTAGGAGTTAGCTAGGCAAGAGGCTCAGCATTCGGGGAGAGAGAAGAATATACAAGGAAGAAGCTTATAGGTGAGAGAGACCCCAGGATGGGTGGGAAATTTAAGTTTGGTACACTTTTGTCAGATGGTATTCAAACTAACCATACTATCTCATTTATAGTGCAGACTTATGATTCAGACTTTATTTACTTCATGTTCTTAATAAGTGATTTCCAAGCATTTTATGAATCCCATAAGTAAAACATGTTTTTGGTCATATATCTCCAAAATATCTACATATTTATTTGTAAGTGAATACTAATAGTTTATATGCATAGTAAAACATACACAAAATGAGATTAAAAGGATGAACTAAAGATGAAATATATTCTTATTTTATTAAAATATAAAAATCAAAATGCTGTTTCACTATTTTTTATAATCTTGTCTTAATATTTTGTGAGATAACAATTTTGAAGTCTGTTTTCTAAATGTAGGTAATTTTGATGCTTGGATTATTTGCAAATCCCTTTTTTTTAAATATTTATTTATTTATTTATCAGAGAGAGAGAGAGAGAGAGAGAGAGAGAGAGAGAGAGAGGCAGAGACACAGGAGGAGGGAGAAGCAGGCTCCATGCCGGGAGCCCGACGTGGGACTCGATCCCGGGACTCCAGGATCGCGCCCTGGGCCAAAGGCAGGCGCTAAACCGCTGAGCCACCCAGGGATCCCTGATTATTTGCAAATCCTTCTGTTGCACACAGCCCACTTTAGGAATCACTGCTCTAACTGGGATAACTATATTGAAACTAGCCTTTTAGTTAAAATCAAAGCAAAAGGTAATTTTTGCTCTGTACATTTGTATTTGGGAGGCAAATTTAAGAAGAATCAGCTTTGGCTTGTGGTTTAAAGAATGAGTACTTTAGTAAAAAACTACATGTCATGACTACAAAGGTCGTATTTCACTAACTTGGAAACCCTAGAGAATGGTGGAAGGGTTATATGAAGTAGGTTATATATAAGTATATAAGTAGGTTATATGAAGGAATGTTTTGCTAGAAGCTCTTGATCAAAAAGATTAATTGCTGTTTGAAAAAAATATACCCGCTAATTATCTTTGTTGGGAGGTATTTGTAAGATGACTTTTCTTCATCCTTAGGAGCTGTGGCTCATACCATTTGGGATCTTCTCAAAAGATATTTTTTCATGATACACTTTATTAAAGTTAGCGAATTTACTTCATTGTATTTCAATCAGTCAGAATTTTTTTCTCTAGAAAAGATGGAAAACAAAATGAAATAAGTTTGAGTGAAAAAAATTTATTGGTTCATACCAATCTTCAGTATTTGTCTCAAGGGCTTTAACTTGGTTGTCAGGTCTGTGTTTCAAAGTGTCTGTTTGTATCTCTGTTACCTTTGCTTTCTTGTAATAGTTTCACTCTCTTATAGAGCAGAAAGTCCTCCTGTATGCAGTAGTGAGGCAAGGGAAAGTGTCCTTCTGGCACATGTCTGTATAAAATCCACTGATGAAATAGAACTCTGTGATTGCCCGTGTACTGGGATTGGCAGGCCCGCAAAAGCGTATGGAATGGGGAGGGAACAGTTTCCCGAAGGAAGGGTTTGCTGTTACCACAGAAGAAGGAATGCGGGGAGTCAAAAACAATAGGTATTTATGGCAGGTGATGAGGAACAGAGGACAGGACACATAAACTTATTCTTTAAGGTTATGAAAGATGACCTAATTTTATTTTCCTAATCATTGATTTTTATAGACTATGCAAGCTGCAAGATGTCCCACAGATGAATTATCTTTAACCAATTGTGCAGTTGTGAATGAAAAGGATTTCCAGCCTGGCCAGTAAGTATCTAACTTTGTTTTCTCCTAACCCGCCAAGTGGTATTTTAGAAACTTCTAGAGAGCCTTATTTTTTAGAAAGCTTGAGAATAACTTTTTCATTCTTCTTTCTGAGTTGGAAAATGGAAGAGATGAGAGTTATGTATTTTAGTTTTTACTGTGTTAAACTTTGGTTGATACATTTTTAAAATCATACATAGCTCTTTATATATAACTTTTATTTTTATCAACTTTCTTAGCAGTACTAAACGTACTGGCTATATGAATCATATATAGCATAGTCATTAGGTTTTTGGCTCTGCAGTCAGATTGAGTTTAAATTCTGACTCTGCCAGTTACAAACTAGGTGACCATGGATAATTTTTATCTACCATCTCTGTGCCTCTGTGTCCTAATCTGTGAAATGGGGATGATGGTAGTATCTTCTTCAGGATATTTGTACAGATTGACTTATATAAATAAAACACTTAAGACACGTGCCTAGCACATTAATAAGCCCTCAATAAATATCAGCTATTTTGATAATTAAGAAATAAAAATTGGAAGATGCACAAAAAGTGTTTCTAAGTACTTATTTATAAATTTTTTGTTGTTGTTGTCATTTATTTTAATTGACTGACATCACCCTGACAGAATTTCTAAAAATGCTGCTATCAAGTTCAGTGCCACCCATATGCTTCTGAGGCTGGTAAAGGTAAGGAGATAAAAGAGCCCCACCAGAAAGCAGCTAGGGAAATAAGGAACAACAAGGGCGTATTTTAAACTGAGCCTTTTTTTTAAAGTTATCTGTGAAATACAGGAATTTTACAAAGTAGAATTTCCAATTATCTGTAGTTTTCAGCTTCAGATTCAAGGGCCTGCACTATATGATTGCAGTAATATTGTTTCGTGTCCTAAAAATTCTATGATACTAAGTTTAACACGTAACTTTCTATGTATAAACTGGAGTATAGATAATCGGGGTGAGAATTTGTTTATGGAAATCTCTTACATTTGTCAAATGTTCACCATACTCGTGGTAGAGTTACTTGAAATATAGCAGATAAAAGAACTTGTGTTCTAGTGGCAAAATGATATGTATAGAAACGTCAAGTATTAATATTTAAAAAGTCATAGCATTGTAAAAGATGGTTTTTTCTGTTTTGTTTTGTTTTTTTACAATTTTATTTGTTCATTTAAGAGAGAGTGCACACACAAGCAGGGAGAGAGGCAGAGGGAGAGGGAGAAGCAGACTCTCCACTGAGCAGGGAACCCAATGTGGGGCTTGCTCCCAGGATACTGGGACCATGACTTGAGCCAAAGGATGACACTTAACTGAGCCACCCAGGCATCCCAAAGATCATTTTTTAAGATTTTATTTATCCATGAAAGACACACAGAGAGAGGCAGACACATAGGCAGAGGGAGAAACAGGCTCCATGCAGGAAGCCTGATGCGGGACTTGATCCCGGGTCTCCACGATCACACCCTGGGCTGAAGGCGGCGCTAAACCGCTGAGCCACCTGGGCTGCCCTAAAAGATGATTTTAAAACAGATAGTGCTGTTTCAAGATAGGGTTTGATTTTATCACACACATGGTCCTTGGCAATTTCTTGTAAGTTATCACAAATAACTATATTTTATCTGTTTATGGGTAACTTCTGACCAGAGTGAATTAGCACAAAATGCTTTGAAATAGTAAATATTGATATCTACATGAAAGCTGATATTTTTTGTGACTAGTTTTAATTTTTATCATCTTTTTAATTTTATAGGTTGTTACTATTTCAACTATTATGAGAGCCTGAAGAGATTTAATGAATAGTCCTAAAACTAACTTTTTTAGACTGGTATATCCTGGTTCTTCTATTTTTGGTTATCATCCTTTTATTCTATTTAGGATGTGACATAATTTTCAGTAGAGGAAATTCACCTAATTTTTACTCATATCAAGGACTCTAAATCATTGCCTTTAGTTTTATGTAAACTGGTGATACAATGATTTTGATATTTTGAATAGTATGTACTCTCTTAAACTTGATCCTGATTCTGCTTGATGTGTGCTTGATCTAAGGTTATGCCTGGAAAACATTTTGAATTGCTGACAGTTTTTAGAAATGAAATTTGTGGTTCTGTTCCTTTCGCACTCTCAAACACTCTGCCGTGTTTCCACCTGGTACTCCTCAAGCATCATGTTGGAAATTAATAGTGAAATTGATGTTTTTTATTTTCTTTTGACATGGAGTATTAACTGTGTTTTTGTCTTTTAGGCATGTGATTGTGAGGACCTCTCCCAACCACAGGTACACATTTACATTGAGGACCCATCCATCGGTGGTTCCAGGGAGCATTGCATTCAGCTTACCTCAGGTAACTCAGATGCTAATTTATTTTCTTCCATTTGCAGAAGTCCGGGAAAAATCAATTCATTTAAAGTAGGCGTCATCCTGTAACTCTTGATTTGTATTGAAGAAAAAACGTCTAAGTATTTATATAAGGAATTTAAAGAACATTCTTTTTTGGAAGGGGATAGGAGCAGAGAGATTGGGAGAGAGAATCTTAAAGCAGGCTCCATGCCCAATGCTGAGCCCAATGAGAGACTTGATCTCACAACCCTGAGATCATGACCTGAGCTGAAATCAAGAGTTGGATACTTAACTAACTGAGCCACCCAGGCACCCTTAAAGATACATTCTTAATTGCCAGTTTTACTGTTTGCCTTTTGTTGTCTTGATTTTTTTTCCTAATTTTTAAAAATTCTGTGGTAATATCAGTTAGCTATTAGATAGTCTCAAGTTATTTTAATGTTAACTCACAGGGTAACAGAAAATATATACAAATAACATTTACATGTAAAATTGACATCTAATGATAATGATTTTTAAAATGCAATGATGTGGGGTGCCTGGGTAGCTCAGTTGGTTGAGTCTCTGTCTTTGGCTTGGGTCATGATCCCAGGGTCCTGGGATCAAGTTCCACGTCAGGTTCCTGGTTTGGGGGCGGGGAGGGGAGTCTACTTCTCCCTCTGCCCCTCCCCCTGCTCTTGTCCCCCCAAATAAATAAATCTTGAAAAAAATTATTTAAAAAAATGTAGTGATGAATATGATGTGAGTAGTTGCTATCTCAAATTACAGTGTTACTTCCTGGGCTTCCTAACAAGTAGAAGGATTATGATTACATTTTTATAACCGTTGCTGGATTCTATGGCGAGAAAACTGCCCAGCACTGTTGCAGGCACCTAATACAAAATTGAGAAGCATTGCAAGTACTAGTCTGTATCCTTTTCTTCCTTGTTGTCTTACTGGTGCTGCTGATCCCAGTCCTCATCAATGTAATGCAACCTCTACCTTCTAGTATGCTAATAAGCATTGATTTATTCCCCTGGAGGTTGAAGGAAAGAGATCAAACACTCTTTAGGGATCCATTAAAGATCTCTTGAAGTGGGGCAGCCTGGGTGGCTCAGCGGTTTAGCGCCACCTTCAGCCCAGGACGTGTTCCTGGAGACCTGGAATCGAGTCCCGCGTTGGGCTACCTGCATGGAGCCTGCTTCTCCCTCTGCCTGTGTCTCTGCCTCTCTCTCTCTCTCTCTCTCTCTCTCTCTCTCTCTCTCTCTCATGAATAAATAAATGAAATCTTAAAAAAATATATCTCTTGAAGCCCTCAAAAATTATAGAAGATCTTTACTCACTATTCCCCTTTTCTCTGTTTGGATGCCTCTTTATATCAGGACTACTTTTCACATTTGTTCCTATACATCAAATGTTTGAGTTATTTTAGAGTTTGCCAGATTTTGCAGAGCTGGGATTGTGGTGGTCAGAAAAGGAATTTCTAGTTGTTTTTTTCTTGTCTCTCTGCTTTTTAAAAAACGTTCCCTAATATTTACTGCAGGCAAAGTACTGTTCTAAGTACTCTTGCATGTATTAGCTCATTTAATACCAAAACCAGTTCCATATGATAGATACTATTATTGTCATCCTTTGAGTCTGTCTTTGGGATTGAAGTACAGAACCTAATTGTGGCCGCTTTGTGATCCAAAGTCTGGACTTACCCAGCATGCTGCTAAGTCTCTCATTGGCTGGAAGTGAGATGGGCATGAAGGGCAGAGAGGTGGGAGAGGAGGTGCCTGTGATGAGGGAGCTAGAGGGGAAAGCAGGTGTTGCACATATTCACAATGTAGCATCTTCACAATCCACCCCCAAATCTGCGTTGCTTGATGAGTAGACAGAATGTGGATTTTCAGCCAAAAATTATTTTTCTCACTGTTCTTTGAAGTGTTATCAGTAGTGACTAATTTTGAATCCATACCAAGCCAGTCCTGAATTCCTGCCTAAACACAATCTGGCCTGCCTCCGTACATTCTTGCTGTGTAACCAGTCTGGACCTGGGAGATGCTAAAGTCTAGTTGCAAATGCCTGAAAATCCTTTGGCTAGTACAAAGAGTAATCAGGACCATTTAATGATTGGAATCCTGCTTGGGTTTCAGGCTAGATTAGCTGACCAGCTGTAATTTACTTTTCATGAACTGAATGTCTTTCTCTCTGAGATATTACACAAATAATAAAAGTTAACCATAGTATATTTAGAATACTGAAATATTATCTGATACTATGAAGGCCTTCAGGAGCAGTTTAATGTGCAAAGGAGCATCCTCCTTGGTGATTCCCATTTTATTGTACAAAGGCAAGCTTTGTATGTTTTTAGGTAGATGTTCAGATATAAACTATAGCATGTAAATATGTTTCCTAGAGCCACTATAACAAAGTACCACAGAATGGGTGGCTTAAATTGATTCTCTTGTAGTTTGGGAGTCTAGAAGTCTGAAGTCAAGGTGTCAGCAAGACCATGCTCTGTGCAAAGGCCTTAGAGAAAAATCTGTTCCATGCTTAGCTTCTGGTGTTACCAACAATCCTTGATATTCCTTGACTGGTAGATATATCACTTCAATCTCTGCCAACATCATCACATGACTTTCTCCCCACGTGTCTGTCTGTCTCGTCTCTTCCTGTAAGGATACCATGTCATATTGGCTTATGGCCTACCCTAATTTGATATGACCTCATCTTAACTTGATTGCTTCTGCAAAGACCCTATTTCCAGATGTGTTGGTATTCATATGTGCCCGAGGCTAAGATTTCAGCGTATCTTTTTGTGGAACACAGTTCAACATACAATACTAAACCACATTTTAATCCTTGAATGTGTTCCTATTACTAAAATTCATGGAAATTCCTATTTTCTTTTCTCTAACTTTGAGTGATTCAGTTTTAAGTGTCTTTTTTAAATTTTATTTTACAGCGAAAATGGGCTGGACTTTCTATTGGGCAAGAAATAGAAGGTAGGTATGTTTTTTAGCTACCTGATATAGATTTTCTTTATGATTTTCTTATGGTTGTGGATATCTGTAAAATTTTCTATTACTGGTTGTCAGGCCATTAAACATTGATCCTGTTTGTGTTACTGGTTAGATATATGAGAATGGAAAATTTAAATAGTATGGTACTTACCTTTTGACTTGCTATTCTGCCTGAAAATTGCAATCTAATGGAGGGAAGAATATCCACTAACTCATAGGTCACAGAATGGGTACAGGGTAAATAAGTGCTCAAATATTACCATTGGGAGCTCTTTGTGAAAGTAGTCAGATAGACAGGAGTGAATGAATTGAGTAGAGACTGGAAAATCAGCCAGAGAAATATTTTTAGGCACGGGAGTTTTGAGCATGATTATGAAGTAGGGGGAAAGCATTACATAATAGAGATAAAGAAGAAAGGCTCTTTTTTTTTTTTTAAGAAGAAAGGCTCTTAATATGAGAAATAATATCAGTAAAAGTCATTCATATGGGAGCAAGCAAATCATAGGCAGGGCTCAGGAAGTATGTTTACCTGATTGAAAAGATTTACCTGAATGAGGTCTATTAAGTGATGGGAGTATGCAGTTAGTGGAGGGCCTTAAAGTATATATGAAAATTTTGGACTTTATTCAAGGACAATTGAGAGCCCCTGAGAATTTTTTTTTAAAGATTTTTATTTTATTTATTCATGAGAGACACAGAGAGAGAGGCAGAGACATAGGCAGAGGGAGAAGCAGGCTCCTTGCAGGGAGCCTGATGTGGGACTCGATCCCAGGACTCCAGGATCATGCCCTGAGCCAAAGGCAGATGCTCAACCGCTGAGCCACCCAGGCATCCCCCACTGAGGATTTTTGAACGAGCCCATCATCTTAACTTTAGAAAAGATTCTGATGTCCATGTGGAGTATAGTGAGGAAAGGGGAGAATTCAGGAGTCAAGGACAATAACATAGAGGTTATTTGACTTGCCTAGAATTACGTTGTGAAATTATGGCTATGGAGAAAGTTTATTTTTATTTTTATTTTATTATATTTTATTTTTATTATTTTTTAAGATTTTATTTTATATTCATGAGAGACAGAAAGAGAGAGAGAGAGAGAGGCAGAGACACAGGCAGAGGGAGAAGCAGGCTCCATGCAGAGAACCCGACGTGGGACTCGATCCCGGGTCTCCAGGATCACGCCCTGGGCTGAAGGCGGTGCTAAACCACTGAGCCACCTGGGCTGCCTGGAAAAAAGTTTTTAAAAGTCTAAGTCCTGTTGGGGGTGCCTTAATGGCACAATTGGTTAAGTGTCCAACTCTTGGTTTTGGCTCTGGTCAGTGATCTCTGAGTCATGAGATTGAGCCCCACCTTGGGCTCTGTGCTCAGCATGGAGTTTGCTTGAGATTCTCTCTCCCTCTGCCTGTCCTGGTCATGCTGTGTGTCTCTCAAATAAATAAATCTTTAAAAAAGTCTAAGTTATGCTAAATAGAATTAGTTACTTAGTGATTCTGTTTTACTGAGATATGTTTTCTTTCTTTTTTTTAAGATTTTATTTATTTATTTGAAAGAGAACATATAGCATGAGTGCAAGGGAGGAGTAGATAGAGAGGGAGAGGCAGACTCCCTGCTGAGCAGGGAGCCTGATACAGGGCTGATCAGAATTCCGATATACTACTTTTACCTAGATTCACCAATTTTCATATTTTTATTATTTTTTAAAGATTTTATTTATTTATTCATGAGAGATACAGAGAGAGAAGGAGAGACATAGGCAGAGAGAGAGAAGCAGGCTCCATGCAGGGAGCCCGACGTGGGACTCGATCCCGGGTCTCTAGGATCACACCCTGGGCTTAAGGCAGGCGCCAAACCGCTGAGCCACCCAGGGATCCCAATTTTCATATTTTTAAAATTGATTTTCTGTCTCTGTACACTCATGTTCACATTTGTTTCCTGAACCATTTGAGATTAAGTTTCAGAAATCTGAAACTTGTTTACATCTAATACTTTCGTGTTTCCTGAGAAAGAAGATGAGCTCTTATAGTAATTGAATTCAGGAAGTAAAAGTTAATATAATTAAACATTGAAACTTTAATCTGTAGTCCATAATTTAATTTTGATAGTTGTTCCAGTTATTTCCTTTACAGCGTTTCCCCCTTCAGTGTAGGATCTAGTTCAGTTCCGTGTATTGTATTTAGCTGTCATTTCTCTAATCTTCAGGTATTTTTGTTTTGCTTTCATTATGGTGATGTTTTTGAAAAATACATTTGTAAGATGGGGATTTCTTTGGTCAAAGGGTGCAAAGTTTCAGTTATATGAGTAAGTATTGGATGTACAGCATGGTGACTGTTATTAACAATACAGCATCGTGTACTTAAACTTTGCAAAGAGGGTACATCTCAAGCATATTCATCTCACTTGTGCTTACTTGCCCACACATGCAAAGAAAGAAAATGTTTCATGTGTACTGAGAAGGAGGTATATTCTGTTATCAGGGTGTAGTGTTCACTGCATGTCCAGAATCTCTGCTTTACTGATTATGCTATTTAGATCTTCTATAGTCTTACTTATTGGTGATCACTTGCCCTGTTGTGCACCGAGAGTGGTGTGTTAAAATCTTCTCAGTATTTTTCTATTTTCCTTGTGTCTCATGTAGTTTCTACTTTACATAGTAGTTTCTGTGTTATTTGGTATGTAAATATTCAAAACTTATATTTTTAATCTGAATTGTGGCTACTAGCATCAAAAAGTATCCTTTGTCTTGTTTAACGTGTTGCAAAATATACTTTGCTTTTTTATTTTTATTTTTATTTTTTATTTTTTGCAAAATATACTTTGATGTCAGGATCACAAACCTTGCTTTCTTACTGTTTTTAATTTTTAGAGTTGGGTTTTGCTTTATGAGCTAATTTGAAATCTTCTTCCAGTAAGCCCATTTAGAGTTATTGATATGACTGATGTATTTTGTCTCAATTCTGTTATTTTACATTTCATTTGTGTTTCCCTATTTGGTATGTCATCTTTGCTATTTTAAAATTTTATTTTGGTATTTAGGAGTGTTTATATTTCTTTTTTAATGATTAATTTTGCATTTATACCTCTCATAGTACCCTTAGTCCCCTCCTTTTTCTTCTTACTTGACCTTTTCAAAAATTCTTTCAGTTCTAAGTGATATTCTTTGACTGTCATCTGTTGTCTGTACAACAGTTAATGCTCATTTTCTACCTTTCCCTTTCTCCTCCCATTTTGTTACTTGCTTTTTTTTTTCAAATTTTAAATATTTTTTTTTTGAGTGGGAGAAGCAAATTTTCAAAAATTGAGGTATAACTGACGTATTAGTCTCAGGTATAAAACATAGTGATTAGTATCTGTATATGTTGCTAATAAATGATCACCACGAGTCTAGTTAATATCCATCACCTTACATAGTTACAAAAATAGTTTTTTCTTGTGATGGGAACTTTTAAGATCTATTCTCGTAGAGACTTTCAAATATGCAATTTAATATTATTAATTATGGTCACCATGCTGTACATATTAGTTGCTTTCTTTCTACTTTGTCAGAGCATGGTATTTACATGCTGTTCTTCCGCACATGACCCATACTTGTTTTAGTCTTAACTCTACAATGAAGTCCTTAAATGATTATGATCAGTCCTTTTGCCAGTTTCTACTTGGTTGAATAAAACCTATGCTCTAGTAGATTCCTCCAGGAAGTATATATGTGTATAGTATCCATTAAGCTCTTGCATATTCAGACTATTTTCTTTAGATCTTTGCTATTTCAAGAGCAGCTTGGCTGGGTATAAAATTCTGGGCTTGTTTTCCTCTCTTGAATTTCTTGAAAATACTGCATCACAATTGCCTTGCATTGTATGATGCTCTTGAGAGTTCTGATACCAATCTGATTTTTTTTTCCAATCTGATTTTCTTACCCTTATAAGTACTTCAGTTTTTCTGCCCGGGGGCCCTGAGGATTTTTCTGTATTTAAAGTCTAATATCCTTACTGTTTATTTTATATATATATATACATATATATGGAGAGAGAGAGAGAGCGAGAGAGAGCGAGCACGCATAAGCCAGGGAGAGGGGCAGAGGGAGAGAGAATCTCAAGCAGGCTCCTCATTGAGCACAGAGCTGGATATGGGGCTCAATCTCACAACCCTGAGATCATGATCTGAGCTGAAGTCAAGAGTTGGATGCTGGAAATCCCTGGGTGGCTCAGCGGTTTGGTGCCTGCCTTCGGCCCAGGGTGTGATCCTGGAGACCCGGATCGAGTCCCATGTCGGGCTCCCTGCATAGAGCCTGCTTCTCCCTCTGCCTGTGTCTCTGCCTCTCTGTGTGTGTGTCTTTCATGAATAAATAAATAAAATCTTAAAAAAAAAGATTTGGATGCTTAACCAACTGAGCCACCCAGGCGCCCCTGCCCTTTCTTTAAAGATTTATTTATTTATTTATTTATTTATTTATTTATTTATTTATTTATTTATTTTATTATTTTTTTATATAAATTAATTTTTATTGGTGTTCAATTTACCAACATACAGAATAACACCCAGTGCTCATCCCGTCAAGTGTCCCCCTCCGTGCCCGTCACCCATTCACCCCCACCCCCCGCCCTCCTCCCCTTCCACCACCCCTAGTTCATTTCCCAGAGTTAGAAGTCTTTATGTTCTGTGTCCCTTTCTGATATCTCCCACACATTTCTTCTCCCTTCCCTTATATTCCCCTTCACTATTATTCATATTCCCCAAATAAGTGAGAACATACACTGTTTGTCCTTCTCCGATTGACTTACTTCACTCAGCATAATACCCTCCAGTCCATCCACGTTGAAGCAAATGGTGGGTATTTGTTGTTTCTAATGGCTGAGTAATATTCCATTGTATACATAAACCACATCTTCTTTATCCTATTTATTTATTTTAGAGAGAGTTAGGAGGAGTATGTGGGGAATGAGGCAAGGGGAGGTGCAGAGGGTGAGGGAGAAGGAGAGAAGCAGATTCCCCACTGAGCACAGAACCTCACTCTGGGCTTGATTGCACAACCCTGAGATCATGACTTGAGCAGAAATCAAGAGTTGGATGCTTAACTGACTAAGACACCCAGGTGCCTCCTCTTTGTTCTTAAAATTTTTTTTCCTCTTATTTTTATTAGTTGGTTGTTTTCCTCTTCTTTCACTGCCTCTTACTGAACATTAATTTGAATCTACTCTCCAATGGGCAGTTTGTAATTTATGATTCACTCTGAAATAGTTTTATCTTTTCCTTCAGTCTCTTTCCTGAGTTTCAAAAACTTATTGCATTTCTTTTGTCTATTCGTGTTCTTATGTTTTAATCTTCTGATTGTAGATGTTTTATTATATTTCTATGTACTTGTTTGAGGGTATTTTATTAAGTTTAAAATGTTATATACATATTTATAGTTCGTGGTTGGTATTTTGAGTGAAAGACACTTAAGCTGAAACACTACAGTATTTTGTTATATGTTTTCTTTTGATAGTAAATCTGTGGAGTTATTTTTTTCAAATTTTCATGGGAACTTTTTAAAAATTTATTTAATTTTTTTTTTTTTAGTTAGAGGGAACTTAAATATTGGGGTTATTTTTAGGTGGTTTTTTTCTTCCTTTGTGGAAATAGGATAAGGGATAAAATTTTAAGTGGGGTGAAAATAAAGGAAATTACTTTAGATATGGGTAGCTTGTGGAAAGTTGCATAATTAGTGCTTTCCAAACATACCTGGGAGAAACACCTGTAGAAGTTTTTTTGTTTTTGTTTTTTTAATATTCTCAGGGCCCTTTCCTTGAGAAGTCTGATTCATGAATCTGTGTTTTTAACACTCACTGTTAAGTGGTTCCTCAGCCACATTTTAAGAAACAGTGACATAAGTGATTCCCTTAACTCTAACCCCTTCATCTGAAGCATAGTGAGAAGCTGAGACAGTGAAGGAGTTCAGCACCAGCATGAAGTAGGTCATGCATGAAACCAGCATTCCTTATTTACAGACATTGGAAGAAGTTAAAAAAAAAAAACAAATGCATGCTTATTAAATCTAGTGAGAAAATGGGTGTGTATGTAGCATAGGTTTCTTCTTCAAATTTTTCTGAATATAGTTAAGAGAGTGCCTAAATTTAACCTTTAATATAGATTAATTACGGTGTGAAAATTCAAGGTTATAAATCTTGATGAGTTGAGAAATGTGTTTTGTGACTTAAATTATGTTTAAAGCATTTTTTCTGCTACCAGAAGTGGTTGTCTTGATTGTAAAGTCGCTTCTTTAATAGGTGAATTAAACAGGGCACCTGGTTGGCTCAGTTGGTAGAACATGCGACTCTTGATCTTGGTGTTGTGGGTTTGAGCCCCATGTTGAGTGAAAAGAGATTACTTAAAAAATAAAATATTTTTAAATAAAATGGATCAAACAGCCTTAATGAACAAAATTATAAAACTAAGTGATCAGGTGGGACTAGGGTAGAATCAGTTTGAGGCAAGGCAGAGTTTGGAGGCCTGGTGATGTGGATGATGTGGCCATAAAGGTAGAAAGCTAGTTCAGTGTAAGTAGCAATGTGGGTACAGATAGGATAGCATGTGTGGTATGAAGGGGGATGCTAATTCAAAGAATCTAGAACAGGCATTCTGTCTGTAGGGTGAGAATTTTTTTTAGTCTAGTCAGTGATTTAAAAAATTTTTTTAATATTTTTTTTCTTTATTTATGATAGAGAGAGAGAGAGAGAGACAGAGAGAGAGGGAGAGAGAGAGAGAGAGAGAGGCAGAGACACAGGCAGAGACACAGGCAGAGGGAGAAGCAGGCTCCATGCACCGGGAGCCCGACATGGGATTCGATCCCGGGTCTCCAGGATCGCGCCCTGGGCCAAAGGCAGGCGCCAAACCACTGCGCCACCCAGGGATCCCCCAAGTCAGTGATTTTAGTGTGAAAGAATCTTCTAGAAGAATCATTTACATATTTTAGGTATTATAGACTGATGTCCAATTAACACGTTTTTTGACCGTTCGAACTTTTCATTTGTAATGTCTTTATTCAAAGCACTGCCTCTAATATTCTTTGCTTATAAAAATAATTTTTATTAGTCTTTGGCATTGAATTGCTATTAATCATAAAATGAGAAAACATTCTCAACCTTTTAACACTTCTTTGCTCCTGGATGAAACCTTCAGGGCACCTGTCCCTTTGGGGCTGCCAGTGGTGCTGACCATGGTGCTGCCTGTGGTACTGTCCGTGGTACTGCCTGCAGCATTTGAAATTGAAACAGCTTGGTCTTTTCTATTTAGGAACACTGACCTTGTTTTAAAGCATATTTGAAAATGATAGTAATAATGATATTTTAATACACTTATTCAAGTTTCTTGATATATAGGTGGTACACACAGGTATATAGGCACATAGATGTATATATATAGGTGTGAATACACACATATATAAATACACATGACATTGTAGAATCATTTTTTGAGCCTTTAATGCACAGAGGTATCATACTGTATGACTCTTTTTGCAGTACAGTTTTTTTTAAAGGTTTTATTTATTTATTTATTCATGAAAGACACAGAGAGAGAGAGGCAGAGACACAGGCAGAGGGAGAAGCAGGCTCCATGCAGGGAGCCCAATGTGGGACTTGATCCCGGGACTCCAGGATCACGCCCTGGGCCGAAGGCAGGTGCTAAACCGCTGAGCCACCCAGGGATTCCCTTTGCAGTACAGTTTTTTACTGAATATTATATATTAAGGGCAGCCCTGGTGGCTCAGCGGTTTAGTGCTGCCTTCAACCCAGGGCGTGATCCTGGAGACCCGGGATTGAGTCCCACATTGGGCTCCCTGCATGGAGCCTACTTCTCCCTCTGCCTGTGTCTCTGCTTCTCTGTGTCTCTCATGAATAAGTAAATAAAATCTTTAAAAAATTATATATTAATAACCCATCCATCTTTATTAAATATACATCAAGTTTTTATTTTAATTGCTGTATAGTATTCCACATTATATATATATGCTACATTTTATTCATCATTCTGCTCCTGATCAGTGTTTTTTCAACATTTGACTGTTACAAATAATGCTGCAAGGAACCTCGGTATAGATCTCTTTTTATTTTTTATTTATTATTATTTTTTATTTTTTATTTTTCTAGATCTCTTTTTAGATAAATGTTCAGTAGTCTTTTTGGTACAGATACCTGGATATGGAATTTCTGAATCAACTTACTTATTTTACATTAATATTTTATTCTATACTGATCTTCACTATATGAGGAAACAATTAGTTTCTGTTGCTTATGAAAATTACTTAACATGTAACCTGTTAAGTTCTAGGAAATCTGTATGTTCTAGGAAATGTTTAAGAATAAAACACCCAGAAGTGGAGGCAGGAAAGTATTCTAAAACTTTCAGCTGAGACTTGTACTTATTCTTTGATCTTCAGTGAACTTTCTATTCCTTACCCTGGCTTTCTTTCCTTTTTTTTTTTTTTTTTTTTTTTTTTTGCAATTAGCAAGAGGGTTTATTGAACGTTTGCGCAAACGGGCCTCCGAGGAGGAAAAGAGCCCCGATTAGCAATTACAGGTATCTTTTAAAGGCAAAAGGAAAGAAACCGCCTAAAGGCAAAAGAACCACGGGAGTCGGGAGTCGCATAGCCTCCAGGTTGATTTCACAGAGGGTCAACATGAACCTATTCAGGGACATTCCAATCAGGGTGTGGGGGGGAAATGGTTTTCTTATTGTGAACAGAATGCTTTTAGTTGCTAAAATTTCAGGAAGGCGCCTGGATGGGCTGCCTCTGTTACCCTGGCTTTCTTAATTATTTTGCTTTCAAAAATGTTTATCTTTACGTGCCTGCCCTTACAATGGCAAACCAAAATATAAAAATATGATTATATAAGCAATTTCATTCAGACGATTTACAAAAAATTCTTATATATAATTCAACTGACTAGACTATAAGAAATAAGTTTAGAACAGAATTTGGGGTATAGAAGAAGCAAAGGTCTATGTAGTTCCATCTTCCTTGTTTTACAGATATTTTATAAATATTTACAGATGTTTTACAAATCAAGGCACAGAACGCTAGATAATTTACTTAGATTTTTACACTCAACAGAATCTATTGAAACATAGACTCCAACATCCCTTTGTCTTGCCTCCTTTTATTAGCGTGGAGATTAGGTTTTTTGTTGTTAGATGCTGTTTGTACAAAGATGAGTTAAAAATATGGTCCTTGCTTTCTTTTACATGTCATACATGTAGTAGTTACTATAGTTCCCTGGTTATGGTGGGTGCTCAGTGAATATTTTTATAGTATTAAAAAGAATGTCAAACTCTGAGTTGCTCTGGAGCAAACCCATCTAGTAAATATTGTTTTTCAAGTTTTTTGTTGTTGTTGTTTGTTTGTTTTTGTCCTGCAAACTAACTTGCTAGGGCAAAAGAGTCCACACACTTCTCACCTTAGTTCTTGCTTGTGTCAAACAAAAATCTTGTTTGAAAGCAACATGCTATACCAACTCCACTGGCACTTTCCATACTGTCATTTTGTCCTCTGTTAGAGAAGGAGGAGGATGTAGAGATAGTGTGGGGAGGGCTGTGATTTCCTATAAGAGTTGGATGAAGGGTAAAGGTAGAGGGATAGTGCTATTGAGATAGCATTATTAGGGATTTGTCCTAATTCAGAGGGGAGCAAAATCTCCAGTGGTTATATTATTTTCTTTAATCTGTACCTGTGTGTCCCTCTGCCATGGAAAGCCCCCTTTTGGTCGAGTTCTGTTATGCTTCATTCATGTGAAACTTTTACTCAAAATACAGCAAGTGTTCAGTGTCCTCGTGATTTTAAAAATGCTTCTTCTTTTTTCCCTAGTATCCTTGTATACATTTGACAAGGCCAAACAATGCATTGGCACAATGACCATCGAGATTGATTTCCTGCAGAAAAAAAGCATTGACTCCAACCCTTACGATACTGACAAGATGGCAGCAGAATTCATTCAGCAGTTCAACAACCAGGCATTCTCAGTGGGACAGCAGGTGGTTTTGAATTTTTTTTCGTTCCTCCCTCTTGACAGGCATTCCAATCTCTGCAGTTCAGAATTAATTCTACTTTTTAGAAACTGCGAGGAGCTTCACATATGGACAGATATATTCAGTTGAGTGATAAAAAGCGAGGGAAATGCATTTCCTGAACCTCTGAGTCTGATCAGAAAAATCCTTAAGTAGCTTTTCGGTTACAGCAGCTCTTCGCTCTGAAAATTTGGGAACCCTGCAAACTTACGTGTCTCAGATTTCTAACTTTTCTTTTTGTGGGACATTTGTTTTGTCTTTGTATGGTTTTCTCTTTCACTGATATATTTCTGTGGAAAAGTAAGTCTTAACATTTTTGGTTATGAACTAGAGAAACTTAAGAAAAGTGTGTGTGTATATTTTCAGGTTTTTCATGGAACATCCGAAGCCCAGATTTTCTGTCCTTAAAAGTGATATTACTGATCTTGCCCTTTTTTTCGACTTCAGTTAATACATTGTTAATCTCCTAGGAAGAAATTCTTTTAAATTTTACTTAAAAAACCTGTGTGAGTTCATAAATTGCTGCTTAATTGTACACATAACTAATCATTACTCATTTGATTTGTTTCTATCTTTGTGACTTTTATTAATTATTCCTAACTCCTTCCTCCTGTCATACATAGCTCCATAGCAAAAGTTCTCAAAATGTGTCCAGAGACTTCAGAGGGTTCCTGAGACCTTTTCAAGGGGTTTGTGAAATCAAAGTATCTTCCTAATAATAGCAAGATGTTATGTCTCTTTTTTCTCTTATTCTCTTACAAACATACTGTGGTGTTTTGTAGACTATGTGATGTGTGCTAGCTCATGAGTATATCGACTATTAAAGCAGATGTGAGGATCCAGCTGTTTTCCTTTAAGCAAGACATTAAAAGATTTGCAAAAATGTGACAGTGTCACTGTTTTACTTAGATTTTTTATTTTGGAAATTGGCGAACTTTTTTCAAAATTAAAAATATCACTTATGTTCACATATAATGAACTTATTGTCATTTTTATATTAATAAATACATTTTAAGTTTCTTGTTCTAATTTCTATGAGAGTGAATGCCAGTGGATATAATCCATTTAAACAAAATCTTTGAGGATTCTCATAAATTTTTAGTCATTTAAAGGGATCCTGAGACCAAAAAGTTTATGAATCACTGCTTATGGCATTCTGATCTCTAGTGACTTATGTAGATTGTCCTTGTAGGATCTCATCTGGGAAAGTATGTGGAACAGACAATGAGAGAGAAGTGGTAGAAAGAAATAGCTGTTGGATGAAAGGAGTGTCACTTCTTTGGATCCTCTCATCTAAGTCAAATGGCATAAATCTGGAAGAACAAGACCAGAAATCTGGAGAATCCATACATTATGATATCAAACTTCCATAAGTGGAAACTGAATGACTGATAGATAGGAAAGGGATATAGTGCATTTATTATTATTTTTAAGAGTACTGGTATTAGAATGAACCTCAGAGGTCATCTTGAGTAACCTCATTTTGCAAATGAATAATTTTTAAATTCAGAAAACATAAATGACATGCCTATGGCTATACAGCCAGGGCCATAGCTGAGACAAGAACCCATTAGTTAAATGAACAATTAGTTAATTAAATATTTACTAGATAACCTAGTATGTTTCAGCTACTATTTTAGGCCTAGCAGATCAGCAGTGAGCAAAATACACACGATTCCTATTCTTTCAGAGCTTCCTTTCTAATTGGGGAAGACAGAAAAAGAAGCAAGAAATGCCATGTACTGTTAAGTACTTTGATGTAAGTAGAATGAGGTGAGGGGCTAGAGATCCAGTCTGGTCCTCTTCCAGATTAGATAGTCCAAGAGGCTCCCCAGCACAATGGTCCTCTGTTCATTTGTTGACCACCTGTCCATTGCTTTTTGAGCTGTATACTGTATTGCTTCTGGGTCCCTACACTTTTTGGTGAATAATTATGCTCAAATTGCTTATTACCTAGACTTCACTGTTTTTACCTTTTCCTTTAGCATTACTGCTTTAATAGAAAATGCTTTGGTATTTGTAATCATTTAAAACCCAGTAACATGCAGATGTTTATAAACCCAAGAGAGAAAAATCTGTGACACAGAGAAGAAATAAATATCTTACCCCAAATCACTGTTCTTAGTATTGATTCCCATTTGTAGTGGTCATTAGTGGCAGGGTTGGCCATCAGCTTTGTCTGCTATAGTTAGTGTTATACTCCAGCAAGTAGAAGAGAGCCCAGATTGTAGAAGGCACTCGTAAATACTTGGTGAATGAAAAGCATTCAAAAGTTGTCTGTAAATTTGTGGGTGGTAGAAAGGCATGAATCTTCGAGTCATGGACCCAACCTTGAATCCTGGCGCTGTCATGTACTATGACTCTGACTTCCATTGCTTAGGCCCTCTCTTGATCTCAGCTCCCTTACTAGTAAAACTGAAGAAGACTGTCTGTTTCTAGGAGAGTTCGTGAGTATTAAGTATAGGACTTCTTGTAGTGTTTGGGTCATGAAGATAATAAATGTTAGTTCCCTTTTCCTCTCATTGCCTGTGTGAGTAGTTTGCCTGTCGAACAAATTTGAGAGGGATACAGGAGAAAACTGCCTTCCCTGCATTTGCAAAACACTGGTGATGATGTAAGAATCCAGCCATTATATCATAAAGTGGTTTTTCTCCCTTTATCTCTTTTCTATGTAGCTTGTGTTTAGCTTCAATGAAAAACTTTTTGGCTTGCTGGTAAAGGACATCGAAGCCATGGATCCTAGCATCCTGAAGGGAGAGCCCGCGACAGGTAAAAGACAGAAGGTATGTTTTATTTCTAATAATCATTGTGATGTGACTTGTGCAGGTTAATATAACATTTGTAGCCATTCTCTTGCTCAGTGATTTCTTTCTTATTATGTACTCTTTGTTTTAAGGTAATAGGGAGAAAACATTGCTTTTATAGCTAACGCTATTTTTTAAATATAGCATAAAATACCCTTTCTTGCAGACTTAATAGTAATTGAAATTTGTAAGTGTACTCGTAATCCTAGTTGAATGCAGATGATTTTTATTGTATACAATAATAACAGTAAGACCGGCATTTTCAAAAGATATATGCACTGAAATTCAATGGAAACAAAAATAAATGTAACTTAGATAATAGTTTGGAAGATTTGCTTTGCTCAAAGAGACCTTATTTCTTGTCATTTTTGGCCTTGCTTTGGAAAGTCTAGAAGTTCACTATTAGACTACTAATTATTGTCTTTTTATACAGATTGAAGTAGGACTGGTTGTTGGGAACAGTCAGGTTGCATTTGAAAAAGCAGAAAATTCATCACTCAATCTTATTGGTAAGATTTGCAATTTTTTGAAAACTCTGAATGAAGTGGGACTATCTCTGTTATCATATGTGGCTCAACTACCCTGATTTTTGTCTGGGAAGAGAATAAGGGCACCTTCATTGAGAAGACTTATCACAAATCCACGAAGTATTTCATCACTGTCAGCTGTGCTGATACACAGAAAAAAAGTTGAGAAAAAAAAAGTTCAAAATGTTCACCAGATCCTCGTTGTCCAATAAAAATGGAATGTGAGCCTTATGTGTAATTTTTAACTTCCTAGCAATCACACTAAAAACCAGGAAAAAAATACAGAATAAAATTAATGTTAATCTATTAGTTTTGAGATAAGTTCAGGCTTACAGAAGATTTGCAAAAATAGTTTAGGGTGGTTCTCTATACTTCACCAGCATCCTTGGTGTTACATCTCAAATAATCATAGCACAATTACTCAAACTAAGTTAACACAGTTACACTGCTACCATCGAAACTGCAGGCTTTATTTGAGTTTCACTAGATTTTTTGCATTATGTCCTTTCGATTATAGGATCTGATTCAGGATTTCACGTTGTGTTTAGTTTAGTTTCCATAGTCTTTTCTGACATTTCGTCAGGCTTCCACTGTCTTTACACACCTTGGTGCATAAGGTTTCTGTATGTACCTTGAGAACTGGTCAGTTATTTGCAGACTACCCTTCACTTGGTGGTGTGTTAGATGTGATACTGGCATCACTTCTGTTAGTGATTGAGTTAAATGGTGAATGTACAGGTAAAGACAGTCTTCCCAATAGATTCATAGCTCTGTCCTACTCTTGTATGTTAGCCTTGCTTTTATTATATTAAAATAGTGCAGATTGAACTCTAAGAAAAGTAACTCACCAGAATGATGATACCATTAACTCTATAGTAATTCTGATTTAGGGTGATTTTCACAATGCTGATGTCTTCTTCCCCAGTAGAAAGTAGAGGATTTTCATTGATTGCGCACCATTATCTCCAAGGTTATTTACCTTCAAATATGTGGTCTTTTTTCTTGATCCATAAATTATCATTCCTTTCTTACCGTTTTTTTCTTAATTTTACAATAAAATACTGGTTTCATAAAATAGACATTCACTGAAAAACAACTCATACTCTAAAATTTTAAAATTTGATTCTATTTTCATATATTATAATTTGCTTTATTGCTTAACAAGCTTCTTAATATACCTCAACAATATAATTTTTAATGACTATGTATGTTGTTTTATGGGTATAGGATTTTTCAGAATCTCCTATTATTGATTCAATACATTTTTTTTTGATTCAATACATTTCTGAAGTGAGTTCTTTGTATTTTACACACCTTTAATACACCTTTTGTTAAGGTATCTTAAGGGAGTTGCATGACTTTCATACAATGTTGGTATTTCTAAGTAATTCATGCAAAGATGTGATTGATAGGCTTTTTTCCATTGATAAAATGGTGTACTAATTTAGCATGCTGTAAATTTGGCCACAGGAGGGCAGTAGAGTGTAAGAAATATATTTTTGATCACATTATAAAGAAATGTTGAGTCCACAAAACTAACCATAAAATCACCATCTAGGATAAACTATGCCTAATGTGACTTTTTCTTTTCTAGTTTTAAAGAAACTATATTACTTTCTTTTTTGTTTATAGTAGAGTGCTCTAAAGTGCGTTTATTGTTTTTGAGATGGCTAATGTGGTTCTCCCGAGTTACTTTAGGTGGCACTATGACCTTTAAGTTAGATAATTTTTATCTGTGGAAATTTGAAAACATGGATTTTGAAATCATTAAGACTTAAGGATGATTTCAGACTTTTGTGTGCAAGTGGAGAAAAAATAAGACATCAGACTTAGTGCATCTTCCCAGGTTAAGGGGTTATACACAGTTTATAAACTTAATCTAGATAAATATATGTATTTTTAAATGTACTTGCTTGAGGAGCTGTGAGGGATTGCTAGATTTCAGTTGCATTTCTAGCAACTAGTATTGTCTTCATCAGATGTACACATAGTGTTTAATCAGCCAAGTTAGTTAACTTGGTTAGGATTAGAGGTTAATAAGACTGGCTTCATGGATTGATCACAAATGGACTACTGCATGAGTTTAGACATTTTGGAAGTGATTTACTAGCCCTGAATGGGTCCAGACAAAGAGTTAACATAGCAAAACGTATTCTTCTTATTTGAAAATCAGCTAAGAGCATGTTCATCTTTGTATAGGATACCTTCTCTTTATTCATTAAGGATGCCCAGCAATTTCTGTCTTTTTTCACCTAGTAATGAAGTTCTTGTTTCACATTGATTATCTTTGTTTGACATAGGCAAAGCTAAAACCAAGGAAAATCGCCAGTCTATCATCAATCCTGACTGGAACTTTGAAAAAATGGGAATAGGAGGTCTGGACAAAGAATTTTCAGATATTTTTCGACGAGCATTTGCTTCTCGAGTATTTCCTCCAGAGATTGTGGAGCAGATGGGTGAGTTTAAAAAGGAAAATTTGGTAAAATCTTGTATTGGCTTTTTTTTTTTTTTAAAGAATGCAATGAAGTCTTTTTTTTTCCCCCCCAATAATGTTTTGAAATTATTTTTCAGGCCTGCCAGTGTTTTTGTGTTTTAACTTTTTATTTCTTTAAAAAAAAAAAAGTTTTCTAAACAAGTTTTGAAGTATTAGAATTTTTTAAATTACATTTTAGCTTTATAGGGAAAATAAAAATATTTGTGGTTGTTTTATCTTATTGACTTATTTATTTAAGTATATTTGTGTGTGGACATATTTAGGAATTTCATTTTATTTACTTATTTATGAAAGGTCTTCTCTAGGGCATATTTAGAAATTTCACCTGACTCTAAACATCACTGTGGATCAGATTTACCCTGCTAAATCATCATTATCTATTAACCATGGGCATTATTTTACATTAGCTGCTACTTCTTTTTATTGTGCTGTTGCATTACCCAATTAGTATGTCTTCACAATAGTAAATGGATTCTTGGCATGTTTTTAAATTAGGTAAGTTTGATCCAAAAAGACAAATGCAGGATATACATGGGAGTTTCCATATTGCATATAAAGAAATGTGTTATTCATTTATCATTTTCTTCTTGAAGGTTTATTTAATTTATCTGTAGACTGAAGTGGCTTTATTTGCTCTAGTGGAAATGCTGTCATGACTGTTCTCATATCCATATCATAAGTCGAATTGGAATGTGAGCAACAGAATATCTGAGAAAGGAATTTATAACATAACAGCTTCTGGCAGACTATTAGTATAAAGTCAGAGTCTTCAAAAAACCTGAAGGAACATGAATATATTACTCCGCTCGCCTCCATCATTCTTTATCTTTACATTGCTACTGGGAGATAAAAGTATGGTGGGGAAAAGAACTGCTTTCTAGGCACTAAGTGCTTGGTTTTATTAGCTTCCTATTGTTGGTAGCTTCTCTGCCTGGCTGTTCACTCTGATAAATTACAGACACAGCACACACCTGTTCTCTGGGTAAAGGTCGAGTTTGGAGTTGGATTAAGAGAAAATGACAGAGACCCTCATCACCTGAGTTTTATACACCTTGAGATGGCAATAACATACTTTTCTACCTGAGAGATAACAAAGGCCAAGTCCATAAAAAACAATTTTAATTTGGAACATAGTATTAAAAAATTTGGTAATTCACTATCTTGGTAATGTGTGTTTTAAAGCACAGTAGTAAGTCCATAAAGCTTTTTGATCAAGACATGGAAATGTTGTTTGCATGTATTTTGGGTATCAGGAGAGATAAAAAGGATAATTTTAAATATTCTAAGTTATTCTTGTGGTATATTTTTACTGGTTTTCAAGACTGAGCTCTGTGCAGAGTCTGATTCTGTTTCTTTGAAGATTTATATTATCCAGCCAACGAGTAGAAAAAAATGGCCTCTGTAATAAGCCATATCTTTTAATTATATTGTAAATATTTTCTCACAGTTTGGAAGCTATCAAGTTATTTAGTTATTCAGATATGCATTTCCTGTTTGTGCATTATCCAAACCCTGCTCATTAGAGCCTCTTTCTGCAGTTGGGTAAATAATATGTAAAGGAGCAAAGCTCATATTGGTCGATTTATGACTTTTCCGGCTGCTGAAAAGCTTGGAATTAAGTCAAAACAGATTTGGAATTTTTGAGTGAATTTAATCTGTGTTTCTGCAATCCATATTGAAATTAAATTATAATACTTTGTGTTTTGTTATGTCAACATGTTTTTTGACTAAGAACCATGAATTTGAATTTTGTTTGAGACTGCTACTATCTAGAACCTTTTTTGTGGATTTATTTTCTGATATTTTTACACTAATTGGACAAAAAAATGAGTTTTATTCTTTAAACATTTTTTTTTCTCTATGGCTTTTCACCATCAGGATGCATGTATTGTCAATTTGATTTAAAAGACAAAAAGTATAAAACTGTATTTGCTTTTGAGATAAATTGAAAGACATTACTTTATTCTGAATGAAGATTGTCAGTGTCATAAAGCTACATTTTTATGGTAAATGGCTGGGAAATAATTTTCTTGCTATGCATGTGTCATTCCCTATTTTCCATTAGAGTTGTCTTTTTTCCTTTGAATTTGGGGGAATTACAGAGTAGAATACCTCATTGCAGTCCAAGAACAGTGGGGTTATAAAATTTTCATTAGCTTTGATAAAAGTATATAATAGATTGCTTACATTTGGATAGAATATAAAATACCCCTCCACACACACAAGTTCTTTTTGTATATATACCTTGTGTTCTTTTACCCTGCCAGGTGGGAACAAAATTAGCTGATTTTTTCCTCACTGTTTGTTAACTAAGTAGCTAAGTTCAACTGGGGATCTAACACTGGGTGCGATTATTTTAAATCAATTAAAATGGAAAAAAAATAGTGATTAGAGAAGAATAATTTATGTAGGTTATGAGGCTGTTTTGTTTAAAGCAGAGAACTTTTGGTCTGAGACCAAATCATTGTGTTTACCACGGAGTCTAGAGTTATGTCTACTTTGCAAGTAGGAATCTTAACTAAATGGATCTTTTTTTGCCTATGTATTAAAGTTGTAAGTTCAGAGTGATCAATTTAGAATTCTCTTCTCTCATTGTGTTTATGAGTGATAATTCTGCTTCGGTAACACAGTTCTTTCCCTTGTCTTGCCAAACTTCATGTTACTTTCCAGGATTGAGGATGTAGTTTAGAAACATGCAGAATGTTGCTGGTGAGATAGATGAAGACTAAAGGGCCAAACAGCATCACACAGTGATGCAAGAACATTCAAGGTCAGATGAGGTCACACACATGCAGTAAATGTCCTGGAGCACTTTCTGAGTCCCAGGGTAGAAGTGTGGGCATTATATACTGGTGTCTGAAAGTCTCAGCGAATAAACTCAGCACCTGATTGCCATCCTTGAGCACAGTAAAGTGTTAGCTGAAAGTATACCTCTGTTTGGACATTTACCACATTTACTCCTTGCATGCAGTTTTGTAGAGAGTGTTAGGATATTTAATTGATTGATTCCCTCAATTCTCAGTTGTGGCTCTTTTGTTGACAAAGATAGAGATTCTATAAAGGAATTTCATTTTTCAGCATCCCTGGCAATTACCCCTAAGTTGTAAATGGTGGAGCAATCAAACAAAAACCTACAAACCTCTTCAAAGAACAGTGGAATAATTATTAAAGAATTAACATCTTTTAATGTAGTTTTAGGACTAGGTTTACATGTATGTAAGGAAAGGGACCTTGGCAGAAGTTACCCGTTTTAGAGCTGAAAGCAAAAAGGTGTGCAGACTGAAGGCCTCCAGCCTCATGCTGCCTTTTGGTGGTTCTGTACCTCGCAGGCATCCAGGCCACCTCGTGGAGAGGCGAGCCTCTGTGATGGTCTTGAGCCCCCCTTCTTTGAAACTGTTCTTTTTGGTCCCCTTCATGCCTCCCTCTTTAAGCCCATTTTCAATCTGTATTTTTAAGATTTCTTTTGAAATTCTAGAGGAAAGCAACTCTTTTCTGGTACTGTAAGTGAAACTGCAGTTACTCTGTGGAGTACAGCGCAGGGAAGATAAGGAGCCTCTCAATCACATGCAGACATCTTTCACATGCTAAAATGGTACAAATAAAATACGGTGGAAGAAAGGGTGCTGAGGTTTTGTACTCACCATATTTGGGAGAGAGGGAGTTCTTGCTCAGATTAACATAAACACTGACACTCTTAAGATGCATTTTCACACCCCCACTCATGAGGAGAGATTGCAATTTAAATGGGGGTTAAGACATCTAGCCGAACTCCAGGGCTCTGTAAAAGGAACCCTAAGGCTAAAGAGCTTATCTGAAATTTGAAAAAAAGAAAAAAAAATGAAGCTTTCTGACATTCATCTTTTTTCCTTGTATTAGTCATAACTTGCTTTTCAGCTATATTTTAGGTTTTGAATGCCAACCTGACATCTGTTCAAGTCTGCCTGTAATTTATTACGAAAGGAAAAGAAAGCAGTTGCTCACTAGTTAGAGATGTAAAACTTCCCCCTTCTGCTTTTCCACCAAGTACTTATAGATGATACTTGGATATGAAGAAGTAATAATTTACTAATTCTGACTTCATGTTGGGAAGTTTGTAAAGTTGTTTTTCTTTTTAATTAGAAGAAGAGATGGCTTATAACCATGTGATTTTCAAAAATCTCTAAAACAGCGTTTAGAATTAAAGCACTAGAGCTAAATACCCTAAAAAATACTGTAAAAAATACTTTTTATAAGTTGAAATTTTTAATCACGAATTAACTCTTGCATTGGTTTTAATTTTTTAAGTAAAATTTACTTATATTTGGATAGGAATAATGTAGTTATGGTATCTCAGTCCAATCATATATAAAGTCAGCATTTTTTATTAATCAATTTTTATAAATAAATCTTTTAAGGAGGCAGAGCTGTCTAGAGTCTAAGCTAATGGATTAAATTTGCTGGCAACTACAGGTGAGTTACAGATCAATAATTGGATCACTAGTCTAAGTTTGAACCTGACTGTCCAGCAGTAAGGAAATAAATAAACTATGCTACATGCTTTTTCCCTCATTATGAAAGGAATCCAGTGAAGCAAGTCTTAAAATGATATAGCTCCAAATATACAGACATGTTATAATAAAAAATACATGTATAAAACTGAAAGTTAGATGCATAGAGGTCTCTATGAACACACATTACATTGAAAAAACATTGTTTACTTATGTGAAAGGGAAGTTAGGAATGGAAATATAGGGAGATTTTTATTCTTTTACTCTATACTTCTGCATCTGAATGTTTTACTGTGATCTTATTTTTCTACTTGTGTAGAAATACTTGGCTCTTTCTTTCTTGTGGTAGCTTCACTGTCCACACAGGAAAGTAGCCTGAGAACAGGTGTGTCCCACATCCTTCATGAAGTTTCATTTTTTTCTTTTCTTTTTTCTTCATGAGGTTTCTATGGAAGAGAAGAGTGCGGGGGTGGGG